CGCCTGGAGAGGAAACCGCGCTGGCAAGAAGAATGAAGCCTACCAGGATCAGGCTAAACAAGTCCATTGAGACACAGTTTGGGGTTCACATCTACTTTACCGGTTCTGCAGACTATTCCACCTATTTTATATTGCAGGAGATCACATCGGAAGGACGTTCACACAGAACGATGTTAATCAGAGGCTGGTTCGCTATGTCATTAACCCCTCGTTAGATGTGACTTCAGACAGCTTTGAATTCCAAGTCTCTGACCCAGCCGGAAACAAAAGTCCTCCTGAAATGTAGGTTCCTGGCAGGATATTGAGGTCTGTGTGTTATGTTTATATGGTAGGAGAGTGTTAGGGTTACAGGGAGGGTTAGTGTTAGACATGTAAGTTTCGTTTCCTTCCGAATTGAAATTCAGACGAGTTTCTTTAAATTTGGACATTCGGATCCATCTGAATCTCCGATTGGCAAAATAACAACTTCGAAGGTATCCAAATTTTTTATTAACGAAAATTCAGATGCATCCAAATTTTGTCCTAAATGTGATGTCCCCCCAATTCATACCAGATCCCTTAGGTGTGGTAGGTCACCTTGTCCCCATGTTGATGAGGACAAGGGCCTCTTCCCCACAACCCTGGCCCGGTGGTTGTGGGGGTCTGCGGACAGGGGGGATTATCTGAATCTGTGTGCCCCCTTTCATAAAGGGGACACCAAGATGGCGTCCCATCACCCGGAGAATGAGTAAGGGGTAGTTGTTAAAGGGAGGGTTAGTGTTAGGGTTATAGGGAGGGTTAGTGTTAGAGTTATAGGGAGGGTTAGTGTTAGGGTTTTAGGGAGGGTTAGTGTTAGGGTTTTAGGGAGGGTTAGTGTTAGGGTTATAGGGAGGGTTAGTGTTAGTAGATCATTGAGTGAAAGTATTAGAGTTACAGGGAGGGTTAGTGTTAGGGTTACAGAGATGGCTCCAGTGTTGGGGTTGCATGGCGGTTTAATGTTGGGGTTACAGGAAGGATTAGTGTTAGGGTCACATGGAAGGTTAATGTGAGGGCTTCAGGGGGGGGTTAAGGTTGGGGTTACAGCGAGGGCTCTAGTGTTAGGTTTACAGTGAGGGTTAGTGTTAGGGTTATAGGGAGGGTTAGTGTTAGGGTTATAGGGAGGGTTAGTGTTAGGGTTTTAGGGAGGGTTAGTGTTAGGGTTTTAGGGAGGGTTAGTGTTAGGGTTTTAGGGAGGGTTAGTGTTAGGGTTATAGGGAGGGTTAGTGTTAGGGTTATAGGGACGGTGAGTGTTGGGGTTACAAGGCTTGGGTTAGTTCTACAAGGAGGGTTAGTGTTAGGGTTACAGGGAAGGATAGTGTGATGGTCACAAAAAGGTAAAGTGTTGGGGTTACAGGGGGTTAGTGTTGGGGTTACAGGGGGGTTAGTGTTGAGGTTACAGGGGGGTTAGTGTTGGGGTTACAGGGGGGTTAGTGTTGGGGTTATAGGGACAGTAGGTGTAAGTGTTACACTGTCTAACTACCACTACATTAAGACATAAAAGAGTTTTTGTTTGTTTTGTTTGTTCTATGTTTCTTTTTACCCGGACATAACATCTGTATATCATTATCATTGGTGAACATTGCGATTGGCGTCTTTCAGTCTTGAACTGCACTGGTCGATCTTACAACTCGCCGAGCCGTATTATCGCGTTTGTGAAAACTCGGGGACCCTCGCCGTCAGGCTGCTGAGAGCCGGGAGCAGCACGGATCCGGCATTCATCGGTATAAAGGTGAGATCTTCTGCTGCTGGACAATGGAGATCAAAATTCTAGTGTGCCGCGGCACAGTGGTTGAAAAACGCTGCTTTAGAGGACACGTGGCTGCTGAACGAGGTTTTCTAAGCTTGCTGCGCCCATAATTACCTCGGAGCACCAAAAATCATCAAAGCCAACATGTGACCATGCTTCATCTGTCACCCTGAATATGGGTGTAAGAGGAAACATGGCCTAGAAGGTCAACCTAGCCTTTCGATAAGAAATAGATAATCCGCGCTTCTGGAAAGGAGACTAAAGTGGAAATGTATAATAAATTAAGACCTAAAGCCGCTCTAGAAAGAGGATAGAGGAATCCTATCAACAATCGAGAAAATATATATCAAAGCGCTAAAGGTGTAACTAATAAAAGACTTAATGTAACCAAGTGATAAAGTGAAATTTTAGGTTTAGGCGGTCTAGCTCTAAAACAAGTGATGTGTCTTACATGGAATCATAAAAAAATTATATAAAAT